TTGCGATCGCTATCACATACTACTTGCTTAATACATACAAACCCAAATAATTATATTTTTTAAACACCCTTGTTTTCATAAGAACATTGGAAGTTGGAATACTTACCGTTTCGAGTTGGTTAGGAAAGTTTTCTGTATGTTTGTGCAAACACTGCAGATGACATTAATTGAATGTGCCTAGTCTGAGTTCGAAGAGAACAACGCGTTCTTAAACACAATTTCAAAATGGTCTCTATCCTCCTCATCAATTCTCGAGCAAGTTAATTAATAGCGATACACCCGAGTTATAGAAGTAGCGTAAGCCTCAGTATCCGCTTGGTCATCCTTTCTTCGGACATTTGGGGTCGGTTAACGAGTTCTAACCCAAACTGCGGTTTTACGCAGTCAGTAGGCCTCAGGGATGCTCTATAAGAGGATTGATTTAATTGAATAAATGTCCCTCCACTATCAGCTTTCGGCCCTTTTGATACAAAAACAAACGTTCAGATATAAGGTTTGGCTGAGGTGAAGGTGGCTTAGAACGCGGTTTTGTTAAAGCGAAACTTTGTTTAAATAAACAGATGTTGAAGTTTACAAAAGAGATGCTTAGTCAACACTCTATAAGGCAAGATTTTTCAAAAAACAAACAAAAGATTATGCGCACCAATTGGAGAATCCGGGTATCGATCCCGGTACTTCCCGCATGCAAAGCGGGCGCTCTACCATTTGAGCTAATTCCCCAATCCGATATATAGCTCCGTTTAGAATCAATAATTCACTATTTTTCAGTCGGCAAAGCGTAATGCGGATAACAATGTGGGGAGTACGATCAAACGCACGCACAAACAACAGACCTACTAGGTCTTTATCTGTTTTGTCGAGTGTAGCCGTTGTTGTAGTTTTTCTCAAGAAAAAAAAGAGGGAGGGTCAACGTATTTGCTTTTGTTCGATAGGCTGTCCTCGTGTAATAAAATAGCCTTGCACGTCTCGTCAGAGTTCTGATGGGCCGTGGCCGGCCTTGAATGATGTCGGGCTGAAGGATTTCTATCCTAGTCATTTGTCAGTATGGGTCGGTTTCTTCTAAACTGTTCTGCGCAGTGAGTTAAAACTTGAAATGTTAATAAAATATCTACAGGAACAGTGGTAAACAATGTGATAAACGTGTTGAAAATTAGCTCAAATCATTGAGGGACCGCTTAGCATACGGAAGGAATTAGGATGGATGCGTGGATTCTCTCTAAAAATACTAAAATGATTTTAGTATTCTTATACTAAAATGGGATATTGTTCTTAGTCATCATCAGTGTTAATTACAGATGCTCAATCTTAATCAAAAAATACTTTTAGGAAAATATGTTAGAGAAATGGAAACAGCAGAAAACTTATTATTTCC